TTACCTCTTGTTATATATTGTTCCACACCTTCCTATTTTTTAGGGTTGTTGCTGAAAGATATTATGTATTCTTCTATGTTCACCTTTGTAGCTGAGTTACTGTTTTTTACCCCTTACATCTTTTAATATTGTTCCTCTGCTTTATATTTTTTACTTCCTCACTATGTCGTGGAGAGGATCTGGCCATGTTTATTTGAGGTTGTAAATGTCTCTTGTGTTTGGCCTCGAACTCACAGAGATCCACCTGCCTCTGCCTCCCCAGTGCTGGGATTAAAGGCATGCACCACCAATCCCCAATGGTTCATTATTTTCAATTAATATATGGATCCTTAACCTTGTCACATACTCTTTCTTCTGCTTGAGCACATCTATTGGTAATACTTTATACTTTGGTTTTTATTTGACTTTTTTTCATTGCCATGATTTCTATTTGTGTATTGTTGTCAAAATTTCCGTGTCTTTGCATAATTATTCTTCAGCTACAGAGTCTAAGAACTCTGAAGCTCCAGCAGACAACCTATGTTCACAGCTGCATCTCCCCACCAAGGGTGATCAATACATAGAGATATTGAAAAGTACAAGACAGCCTCTTCTCAAAGCACTGAGGAGACACCCTCAGCTAGAACATTAGCACCCAGGGACTAAGATCTGGAGACTCTAGGGAGAATGGAAGAACTTGAACCACAGACTGAAAATCAAAGGGTGGTCAGCAGAGGTCCCTGATGAACAAAGTAAAGTTGCTAAAAGAAAAGCCCCCAATTCCAGTCATCTCTAGAAAGCTAGTGCAGTGGAAACTTCCTGGAATCTATGACAGTGACCCTAGCAAAGTCCCATAATAATGAGTTGATAAGGAGTCTGAACTGGCCATCTTCTATAACCAGGTAAGGCTCCTAGTAGTGTGATTAGGATATCAACTCAGTCACAAAACCTTCTATCTACAATCTGTCCTGCCTGCAAGACATGCTGGGGCAATGGTGGCACAGAACTTGTGGAAGTGGTCAACCCATGGTTAGTACAAATTGTGGACCACACCACACCATGAGAGGGCGTCCATGCCTGACACTGCCTAGATGACCAGAAACCAGAGGTAGGACAGTCCAGAGACCTAAGATAGAACCAAACAGGACTGGGAAAAAAATTAGTCAATCAAATCATTCCTAGTGATATTCTGCTATACTCACAGATCAGTGTCTAGCCCAACTGTCATCAGAGGGGCATCATCCAGGAACTGATGGGAGTAGA